TGTTGGTAGCTCTATTGCCTCTGAGTCAGAAAGTTGTGGGTTCAAGCCCCACAAAGGAACTTGGAACCCGTATAGTCTAACTGATACTCCAATGAAGAGCTGGGGATGGCTGCACTGTTGGACGTTCTGGCCTTCAATTGAGATGTTAAACTGGGGTTTCATCTGCCTGTTCAAGTAGACGTTAAAGATTCCACAGCAAAAAGAAAAGGGACTTTCTGCAGTCGGCAGTGTAGAAATCACAGCTTATATTCACAACAAGATATAGCAATACTCCGAAGATTGAGAAGACAGCCTGTGATTGGTCTAGTCTGATGAGATGGAAGTTATACAGGCACCATAGAGTAATCTGGTGACAGCAAAACTTTACAACAAGTGTTAAGTTAAAGAAATAAACAAATAGAATGAATTTGGGGATAAATCTTGTCATTATTTGTATTTACCTTCTGAGTTAAGCTTCTTTAATGCCAATAAAACAGATATTTAAGTTAGGTGAACATTGTGCACCTCAAATGTAGTTGGCCAGAATACACAACTACTTAAGTTATGTTAGTGGAAATTCAGTAAATCAATTTATCTCTGTCTTTACTTGAAAACTTCTACATAATTGGAAATATTGAAGTTAATGTTGTGGCTCCTCTAGAAATTTGGCAGTGAATTCTTGTCAGTTCTTGCAATAAATCCAGCATCAGATTGCAATTGAACAGCAGAACATACTGATTCCTCTGGAATCTATTTTGCTTTCGATAAGACTCTCTCATAACATTGTGACTGTTTCAGTTCTGATTTAATATGCACAACTAACATTACATTGAATGCAGTCTGGCCAATTACATTACTGGCTTGTGCCAAATTCCGAGGACCTTTTCAGATGATACCAGTACCAAGGCTGTTGTACATGTACTAGGAAAAGCAAGTTGTCCATTCCAAGAAGTCCGAGCTTCAGATAACAGCAACAATGACTTGCAATCGCAAGAGAGGGTAGCTCTGAGATGTTACCCTCACGCAGGGTAGCATCTCAGAGCGTTTGATAGTGGCGGAGCCCGACACTGAGCCAGTGGGTGGGGGTGTGACCATAAGCACAATCAAAGAGGAAGGTCTTAAAGATGGAGGAGCTTGAGGGAGACTTTTCCAGAGTTTCGTGGGATAGTGGCTAAAAGCACAGCTGCCAATGGTAGAACAGAGGACACCAGGGACAAAAAGCTTAAGAACATCAGATATAAGGGAAGCAGTCCTTTTAATTGTCTTGAAATGGAACCATTCTGAAAGATATGGTCATTTGCAAATTAATTTATATGTCACAATCTGTGTGATGTACAAAATGACTGATCACGTCACATCAATACTTTCAATCACAATTTTATTCTGTCCTGATATTCATTTTAATAGGTTTTCATTGAATTAAAACATTTTTAAAAAACACTAAACGAGCCACATATACTTTTATACTATACCAGTATACTGTTACTGTTTATCTTCCTGTCTGTACAGCTACCAGGATTAACGGATGCATGGCCGCAATCTTTGAAAATGGGAATTATGCCAAAGAACTGGAGTGTGGAAAATGTTACATCACTGTTTAAAACAAGAAACAGAATAGCAATGGAATTATAGTCCAATTAGTTTACCTCAGAAAGATCATAATATGGAATGGATTTTTTGAAAGCTAGGAATTGATCTGGTAAAGTCAATATGGACTTGTAAAAACAAGTCATGTCGATTATTAAATGAATTGCCGTGTAATTAATAATAATAATTACATACTTGGCTATGTCAGACTATGTGTATATTGGAAATATAGTTGACGTATATATGGATTTTCACAATGTGTTTGATAAATAGCTTCATACCAGCCTGGTTGAGAAACTTAATGTACATGGTATTACAGGCAAAGTGGTGAGTTGGAGTGATTATTATAGCGGAATGGCTCAAAGCAAATTGTAGGGTGTAAAGGGATGTTTCTCAGGATTGTTGGATTTTATTGGAGTACCCAGGATTTTGTGCAGGAACCTTAGTTTGTTCCATGTGAAAGGCGTTATACAATTGTAATTTGTTGTTGATTTGGAAATAGACATGTAAGGAGAACAATTTATAAATATGTCAATCACACCAAATTAGGGGATAAAGTGCAAGAAGCTGCAAAGAATACCATATACTAGTATTTTTTAGATATTTTTAATTTCCTATTTTTGCAATTCAGAGGTTTTTATGCAATATTTAAATTTCAATATACCATTAAGAAAACAGGATGGAAAAGCACAATCATGTTGTTTGAAAGAAAATAAAGGGATGTGGACCAGAAGTCAAGTCCACTGTACAAAAAAATAATGAAAGTATTGGTTTTACAGCATTAATTACTTAGCAAAGTGAACAGATAGGAGGTGGATGCAGTTTAATGTTTCTGAATGCCATATTTGGGGAAAAAGAAGAAAGGAAAGCACTTGGTAAGAATTTTAATGATGTTGAGGAACAGAAAGATCCAGAAGTGGACATAGATCTTTAATGGTGTCGGTTTAAAAAAAGGCTATTAAAGAGCAAATGGGATCCTGAGATTTACGTAAAGGACATTGAATAGGCAAGTATGAACAAATTATTACATTTATGCTGATCGTTGATTTGGCCACTGTGTGACATTTTAGGTGCCTCATTATGGAAAGAATGATTCAGAAGGATAATATCAGAGATGAAAAGTTCTGAGGATATGGCTGAAAATTAGGGATTTTACTGAACCAGAGAAGGTAAAGATTGAATCTAATAGAGCATTTCAAAATTATTAAAAGTTTTGAAAAAATAATGAAATAATAGTCCCATTGGTTCATAACCATGGGGGGAGGAGTGATGGGGAACATTATGAGATGTTAAACCGTAGTCCTGCCTCCCTGTTCAGGTTTATGTCAAAGATCCCAGTGCACTATTCGAAAAAAGAGGGGAGTTTCTCCCAGTGTCCTGGACAATAATCCCCCAGATAAAATTGATTATTTACTTCATGCCTGTTCGTGGGACATTGCTGTGCACAAATTGGCTGCCTCGTTCACCCACAAATACAGTAACTCCCCTTCACAGAAAATCCTGTGAAGCGCTTTGGGACATCCTCCCAATGTGAAAGGTGCTATATCAAATGCAACGATTATTATTGTTAGCTGAGGATAGTGACTGGAAGTGTTAAAGAGAAAGTCATAAGCAATCCTCCCATGAAGGTGGTTGTTAGAATATGGAATGCTGCTAATAGCTATTATGGCTGAGAAAATATTTCTTAAAAGAGAATTGAATAAATATTTGCAGAGGGAGAATATTACAATGAATTTGTAGGGAGCTTGGAATTTGGATAAAGTAAGCTCTAATGAAAGACAACCATAGGTTTGCTGAGCCAAATGGCCATCTATTCTACTATGATTCTAGGAACAAATCTAAAAGCGTAAATTGTGTAGACCTTAGACAAAGAGTTAAGAGACCTAAATGTGTACCTGATATTGTATCCAGTCTGCAAGACCATTTTGTCATAAAATTTAAGATTACGCAGAATTGTGGAAAACACTTTAAAAGCTGGTTTCTTTTTAAGAACTGTGTGAAGAACAGTGTTGAAATGGAGACTGAATTGAATATTTTTCCAATTATTTATCTTTAATTTGAAAATGTATCCACAGAGGGCTCCACACATTGAATATGCGCATTTATTTTACAAAGATTTTGTTCATTATTTCTATTAGTCAACTAGGCATATTTTTGCCATCATGGGGGAGAAATATGTTAGGAGCAAAACAGTTAAAAAGTAATAGGAAAATAGTGTAGAAATACTTTGTGGGCAGCGTTCACTTTCGGAACATTGCTATCATCACTGACGATAGCAATGTTCAATAAGTGTGAAGAGTTGCAATCAATTATAGGTTGGGACAGTAGGGGCCCTCTAACAAGGTAGCTGGGAATTGAATAAGGAAGGCAGACTTAGAAACCACGCAAGAGGGAAGAGTACTTGAGATACTTTAACTGCATGTGTGCGCAATTGTTTTCTCATCTCAGTACTGAGGATAATTTTTTTTTCTTGTTTTCTGCAAGGACATCACTATGTATCCCAGCATACTCCAGAAACTTGAGCTGTTACGCACAGTAGGCAAAGGCGTAGAGTTGTTGGAGAGGCTAAGCAAAAAGTTGTACCAGCAACTAACTGCCTCCTTAAAGTTGTTGATCTTGCAAAAATAAAGTGGCATCTTGGAGGGCAGGTGGCAGTTCCAGCAACAGCTTCTTCATCAGCCATAAGATGTTTGGGTACAATTAAGTTCACTCCACAAACCAATGCATCAAACCAGGAATAGCGATATATTCATCTCTTGCTCCCCCCCCTACTTCTCCGACCTCCTAACCCCATATCAAGCTGTCTGCTCATACTGCTTTGCAGACATCAGCCTGCTTCAGGTCCCCCGCACTTCCCACCCCACCATTGCTGGTCAGGCATTCAGCATCTGTGCCCCCACATTCTTCAACTCTATCCCGCAATCCCTCCGCCTCATCCACTCTCTTGCCTTCTTCAAGTCCCATCGAAAGTCCTCACTGTTCACCCGTGCCTTCGGCTACACTCCGCCCCTCACCTCCCCCTCACCGCCCTCCACCCCTCATGACCCCAACTCCCAGCTCGGGTCCAAGAAAAACCTAACTGTCCAGTGCCCTGGGACGTCTTTCCGACGTGAAGAGTGCTATCCAATTGTAATTTGTTGTTGTAATAAGGAACAATCTGCTTAACTCTTATCTTTTAAAATTCCCCCACTAATTTCCCTGCCATCCCAATATAATTGTGTGCCTTATGTGGCTAAAATGTGTTATTAAAATAAGCTAGTAATAATAAGTTAGTGCATTCATACTGAACAAATCTTTCACAAGGATAGCGTTTATGTTGACTAACTGTAAAGTAATTTCACGAAAAATGAATCCTCTATATTTGAAGTATTATTGTTATATTATTTTTTATGTTGGTAATTTATATAAATACATTTAACAAAGACACAGAACTCTAAGAAGGCTCCTTAACAAGTCAAAAATTAAAGACATCGGATTTCAATGTTTATGCAATATAGACGGGACAGACACATTGAATTATCATTGGATTAACCTTGTTACAACAGTAGTATGGTATACAACCCAAGACTTAAAACACTCATTTCTCTGTCAAGTACAGTGAACATAATGTTAATTATTGTTCTATGAGTATGTGGAACAGGAATGTTGGAAATCTACCTGGAAGTATATGTAAAATAGTGGATACTATTGGGAAGTTAGAAGGTTTTGAGGTTAGAAATCAGTAAAAGTCATTGTTTCCATTAACATAGAATGGGGAGGAGGTGAACAATGAAATTGTATCATTGTTAGCAGGACTACAGACTGACGTACAGACATTAATTACAACTATAATTTCAAACAACATTCTGACATTTTTGTAAACTTCAAATTGCTGGATGTTACCACTATAACTAGGCTGAGAAGCTTTAGTGAATGGGAAGAATTTAGTTTGGCACTTTCCGTGTCTGTCAGGTGTTCAGTCATGTTAATTCCATCAGTGACAGTTAAAAACAATACTGATCAATGTCATGAAAAGGCATGCAATAAAAAAAATCTAGAGGCAGGTTGTTTCCTGGTATGATTAATTAAATATTTCAGCACTTTGCACTCAATCTTGGCACTGCGAGACTTCACTTGTGACAACTACTTTAAAAAAAGGGTTTGCTGGTGTCAGTCAGTTATTCTCATGATAGAATAAAAATAAGAGGAACAATGTTAAAGATTAAATAGCATCTTGCTACTCATTGGAAATTTATAAAAATGTCCTTCATTGAAAGTAAACGCTTCACAATATATTAAAGAAGTTTTGCATTTTCAGTGTTTCGGGTCCAAGTGCATTGTTCTTGGATGAGTCACACTTCAGTCTCAGTGCATTTTCTGGAGAGAAACCAAACCTTCATTGGCTCCGTCTTGCCCTTCATACTAACCAGACCTCTGTACTCCAGTTGAAACTGTGAGTCTGAATTCTCTGCACCCATCAGACATCTAATTACAAAAAAAGTCTATATTGTAATATCAATCACATATTTCATCTTCAGCATTAAAAGCTAACTCAGAAAGCCAAAGGCAAGAAAGTGAGAGAAGTGCAAATTTATATGTTTTTTTCTGCTTTTCTGGAGGTAGGAATGAAGGCTAGGGTTGACACATTCTTGGCTAAATGATCTCGGTTGTAGGTATGAGCGGTGCCTTATTTGAACCAGGATTGATTGATTTTTGAAATTGGTTTTAAGTCTTTACTTACCTTGATTCTGTAGAAATTGTACAAAATAAATTAGATCTAAATTGTATTTTCTACAGTTTACGATTTAGAGTTAGTAAAATCTTAATTCTGATTTGCAAAAAGGATTTTTTTCAAATGTGCAATTCACTCTGTAGTTATAGATTACTGAGTTTGCTCAAGTATGGAAAAAAGGGGATTTTGTTTCTAAAATAAGGGCATCTTGCTGTGTTATTTGCAGGATTTTACAATAGAATTACTGGGGAGTGCTGCATTGCCAAAGATGCTATCCTTCAGATGAGATGCTAAATGGAGATCCTGTCTGCCTATTTAGGTGGACTCTAAAGATCCCATTGCACTATTTGAAAAGAGATGGAATTTCTCCCAGTGTCTTTACTAACAGTTCCCCAGATTAAAAGAATGATAATTATGGCTGTTTGTGGGACATAGCTGTGGGTAAATTGGTTGCCACATTTGCCTAAAAATACAATCACTACTTTGGAGCAAACTCTCTGGAATGTTTTGAGAAGTTCTCAATTGAATTCTGAATAAGATCAATGAAAGATTATTGTTATTATTGTCATCAAGGATTGCTTACTACAAAATGTAACAAATTAGACCCCACTGTCGCGAGATGATAACTGTATTGTTCATGCAGCTATTCAAGTTTTACTTTTGTGGTTTATGATGACAGCTGTACCTCACAACAGCATTACTGTTGCCTAAATGTTATCTTATATCTAAAATATTTTTTAGAAAAAAAGCATATTCTTAATATCCCTCACCTGTATGTGTACTCTGAGACATTAATTCTCCCTTTTTCTCCAGTAGTCTCTGTCCTGCTGGTTAGATTAACAGTATTTCCAAACAAGCAATAGCGAGGCATCCTCTGACCTATGACACCAGTAACCACTTCTCCAGTGTGAATCCCGATGGTAATCTGAAATGGGAAAAAAAAGGTTAAAGATTATGCAATATCTTGGCACACCAGCAGCAATCGAGTTAGGAAACTGTGACACATATGTAAAATGTAGGAGTTTATGTATTGCATGGTTGTGTACACATAGAAATGTTTGCAGGTTACTGAGACCACAGTGTGTTGTCAACGTATTTGAAACAGTGATGGTAGATTACTTCTCTTGACATCAAAGCAGCTTGACATTCAGTTGAATTACCTGAGTGCTATTTAAAAGGAATTTAGAACAAACAGACAAGAACATAAAAATCAAGGTGAGGGATCCAAGCCAACATATTAGTGTGTCAACAAGGATGAATAGAGTAGCAGGAATAATTAAATAAATCTATTTCACTATTTCATTTTAGGAAGCATTTTTTCACTCAAAGGGTGGTAGAAATCTGGAACTCTCTCCCCCAAAAGGTCGTGGATGCTGGATCCATCCACACCTTCAAGCAAGAGATTGACAGATTTTCGGTATTAAAGGATATGTGGGGAAAGCGGGAAATTGAAATTCTAGTAAAGATATAGATCAGCCATGATCTAATTAAATGGCGGAACAGGCTCAATGGGCTGAATGGCCTACTCCTGTTCCTATGTTCCTATGTTAGTTGATGTCGAGGGTGAGTTTTAACAGGAATTATTTAAAGTAGGAGATGGCGTGGTGAGTTTTGATTGCTACACAGAGAGGACATGAGGTTAAGAAGAGCATATACAACAATCTAGTGAGGAAAGATGAGAATTAAATTGGGTGAAACATTGATCATTATAGTACCGATAATAAAAAAACTGGAATAGACGTGATGCATCCTGAGAATGGAGGTTAGTAATGAGGGGCGCATTAACTGTAGGGTAAGATGTTTTATATTATACCAGCAGTGCAAGAGAGGGATTTTCCTAATGTCAAAGTTGTTATAGTTAACAGCAACTCTTAGCAACTTCAATCTTCAAAGATGGAACCTGTAGCTTTATTCCTTTCATTCCTTTCATGAGGCTTTTACTTAAAAGAGTAGGCGTCATAACAGGTTTAAATCACTTTGAGATTTGTGTCAGAAGCCAGACACAAGCCAGACACACATTATGGGGTATAGTACATAAGTAGTTTGGAATATATGTGCATGCAATCGCCAGGATGGTGGAAGGCGAATTAGATGGACCTTGGTCTTTTTTTGTCTAGCATTTCTTATATTCTTATTAAGCTGTATTAGTGATTTCAATGAAACTTCCAGGGCATTTTCCGTCCGAGATGAGTATGTAATCCTAAATTTTTAATTGCATTTATTGGTAAACAAACTATTTTAAAAATATGCTTTGATGAACATTGCAAAACAAAATTCTGGCACTGACTGAAGAAAAATTTAAAGTGGTTTAAATCATGCGGTACCATTTAAAAACAAGAACTAAAAATAAATCCCTGAAGGAAAAAAGCAGTCTGTTTTCCTTCAGCGACACCACTTAAAAGCTGTTTCATCTCAGCATATCAAACAGTCATAATTTTGGGTACAATATTATTGGCACACGCCACAGTAACACTTTTAAGTTGCTTGTCACTATTTTTTTCCATTGCAAAGCTGAAGATGATGGAGCCTTTATTGGACAACATGCAAACAATATTATGATTTATGCACATACTTCTTGATGCTCAAGAAGCATTAGTCTTCAATTCCAAACATGTCTTTAATGTAACTTATAAACTTTTATTCTCAATTTGGGTTTATTTTTAAAATTAGTTTTGTGCAAACAGTAACTATAATTTTAAAAATCAAATTTGTACGTAACATGGATTTTCTTTTGCTGGATATTGAATGTAATAAACGTTGATCTCTAATAAGAAGCTATTTTGCTTTTAAGTTGTAACATTGTTTAAGAAGATAGCAGACATTTTTTTTTAACTTCAATCACCAAATATTAAAAACTTCACCTGTAGTTAGGGCACTGCTTCTTCAGTGTTAGCTTAACTAAAATAATAATAAGCTTTTCATTTGATATAGTATATTATCACATTGTTGAAATGTCTCAAAAGAATTGCAAAAGATTTACTGAAGAGTGTAGTGACTTTGGACTTTGAACAACAACAACGTACATTTATATAGCACTGTTCACGAAGGTTAGGGTCTCGGAGATAAATATGGCAGTCAAGTTGCATCAGCAATGTCCCACAAACAGCCATGAAGTGAATAACCAATTTTATCTGGAGGATTGCTGACCACGACAACTTCTAACTTACTGTTGCAGTCCCTTACAGATATAGATGTGCAATTATCGTGCTGTCTCGGTGTGAGGGAAGGGGGAAAGGAAGATGGTTATCTCATCCAATGTCTTTAGAATCGATGAGAATCCCAGTCTACCTATCTGTGCTAACATTGGATATATATTGATCATTATATTTTGTACTACAATATACAATGCTGATGTGCAGACTCAGCTTGTAGAAAATGATTACTTTGTGTTTACAGATTTAGGCATTAAATCAAATAACCTCAAACTGATGGAATATCTACATGAGCCTTGGGGTGTGCTCCCGATATGAAAGGCTCCAGATAAATGCAATTTGTTTTTATTCAGGAAATAATCAACAGTAATGAACGCAACAAAACTACTTTTTAAAGCAATCAAAATTTCACAAATAATTATGATTAACGAGAAAATCCATTTTCTTTGTTCTTTCAATTGTTGAATATTAAGAATATAAACAGTATGAACAGTCATGACATCATTGGAGGTCCTGGCTCAGAAATCTTTTTGAGACTGAATATGACTGAGCTAAGATAACATACAATTAATACTGATGGGCCATGAAGATAATGGCACAGATAGCACTTCATCTCCCGATTACCAACAGTAACTCAGTGACTCATTCAGGCCACAACCACCCAAAAATGAATAGCACTCACTGTTCAAGGAAAAATATATAATAATCCTTGCATATAAAAGTCATCAAGAAGTCAAAATAGACAGTATTACAAATCTCAGGAAGTATCTGATTTCTAAAAAGACAATCATTATGGTATGCCTCTTTCCTTAATAACGTAGTCAAAATTGTATCCTTATTTCATTAACTACCTTACTTTGGCTGAATATTTGAAATAGATTAGAATAGGGATCTTTTCACACAGATAATGGATATATGACTCAGAAACCCAGTCAAAATAGTCATTTCTGCCCAAATGAGGTAATGTTTTCTGAGTTCCTGAAGCATAGGAGTTGCATGTGGAGGGAAGGAGATCAGAACTAGACGGTAATTGAGAAATGGGAAAATGAATAATTTTTCCTAAGTGCTTTTGCTTGTTTGGATGTATCTGTGCAATACTGGTATTCCTGTACAGAGTGATGGGTGAAGTCCATAAAAGAGACAGATATTGAGTTGCTACAGAAGGAGCAAAGGAGCCATGGACCAAATGGTGTAACTTTAATAATTTCGATAACGCTTTGTAAAAAGTAGAGTTATACAAGTGTGTTTTGAATAGACATAACAGTGCAAGAATGTTTCCAGAAATAGAAATATTCTCAGCTTTAAAACTTCACCACATAAACAGCAATGCTATGTGGTACAATATATTTGTCAATTATGATAGATGTTTTCTAAGTTTCTGATTCTTGTATTCAGAATTTATAATAATGAAAAGAATAATTTGAAATATGTTGGCAAAGGCATTGGCAAAGCTGTTGGCAAAACACCGATTTGGATCCAATTGTTCAACTAAGGTGGAATATGCTGCTGTTTTGGTATGTCCAAGAAGCCGACAGACTTGTCTGTCACAGACAAACACATAGCGAAATCTAGCAGGAGCACATCATCATGTAATTTTGTCTCATCATCTCTTCAGATAAGAATTAGAATAAGCAGTTAGACCCAATCAATTTGCTATATCCTATGAACCACAGAACTACTGGGCAAAATCTTCAACATTCACAGGGTTAAAAAAACAATGTTAAAATCCAAATTTTCAATCCTGGCAAAAAACTGGTCTTTTGAGACTAAAGTTCTATCATAAAGATCTTATCATTCAAAAGAACTTTGTATGTAATTAATAAAAGCTGTCCTGATAAATTTCTGCAAAAACATTGGAGTGAATGTTGGCATTCCCGCTAATGTTCGGCTAACTAAATCAAATTATTTTCTACTATGGTTTCAAAGTCTATATTAATCTTTTGATGGAAGATTTAAAAGCTTACAAACTTGAAATAAAGTTTCACTAATTTTTCTATGAAGCGTGTTGTTTAACTTTTCAAAGGAATGATGGAAGAGAGGAACAAGAGAAAAATGGTTACGCAAAGCCATGACTGACCAGTTAATATCACTACCATGTAGTTCAAATATGGACTGCCTATTCCTATTAAAGTGACAACAACAACATTACATTATATTTGTATAGGGCCTTTCGCATTGGGAGGATGTCCCAAGGCTCTGGACAGTCAGTGTTTCAGACCCGAGCTGGGGGGCGGAATTGGGGAGGATGGAGGGCAGGGGGGAAGCAGGGTAAACGAAAACACGGTCAAAGCGGCGATGGACATGAAGCAGGCCAGAGCCCGCTGAGCGGAGGTAGCTGGCAGGATGGTAGGGGGTTAGGAGGACGCAGAGGTAGTGGGGAGCAAGGCCATGGAGGGCTTTGAAAGTAAGGACCAGGATCTTGAACTGTATCCTCTGTGTGATGGGAAGCCAGTGGAGTCGGGCGACGAGGGGGTGACAGGGTCATGGAGCCTGGTGCGGGAGGGGACACGGGTTGCAGGGTTCTGGATGATCTGCAGCCTATGGAGGGAGTAGTCAGGGAGGCCGACAAGCAGGGAGTTTGCAAGGTCAAGCCTCGATGCTATGAATGCGTGTATGAGGGTTTCAGTGGCCTGCGGTGTGAGACAGTGGCAGAGCCCGGCGATGTTGCGGAGGTGGGGGAAGGCAGAGTGTTCAAGGCATGGATGTGGGGTAGAAAGGATAGTTGAGGGTCAAACAAGACCCCAAGGTTCCGGATTCGCTTATGAAGGTGAAGTGTGCAACCGTGGATGGTGATGCTGTCAGTGCCTGAGGTGTGAAGGTGACGATGGGAGCCAATCAGGAAACCATCAATCAATTCCCAATTGTGACGTACACAGATGGGTTCTGTAATGCACAAGTGCAAAGAACAATATGGAATTTGTGATGATGTGCAAATACTCATTGGCCATTCACATCATGGCTGCTATGTTTCACAAATTCACAAATTGGCTGCTGTTTTTGTCTACAAAATATGAAACACTGCACTTTACAATAAATTCCGTGAAATGCTTTGAGATGGCTCCGCCATGTGATCAAATGCAAGGATTATTATTTATTGTTATTCATGATAAATGTCTGCAGCATGTGACCGGGATGTCGGGAGGAATGTGTGATTTTATCACACATTAAATTTTCCATAACTTACCTGAACAGGTTCCCCGTCTACCATCACCTGTCCTGCTATCTCCATCATGTCCAGAGCAAGGTGGCAGATAGAGCGAGCGTGATGGACGCATGGCTCTGGCAGGCCACTCACAGTCATGTACTTATCACCAACTGTTTCCACCTGGATAAGACAACATGCCCTTTTATATGTTGGTTAACAGAACAATTGACATTTATATGGCACCTTTCACATCCGCAAGACCCCTCAAAATACTTTGCACTGCTGGCTGGGCACCCAAATTGAGGGGTGGAAGCTGAAGAGGGTGGGGAGAGGAAAGATGACAGAAAGTGTGGCCAAAGAGCTAAGTATTGAGACGAGCTAACTTGGATTCATCATTGGTGTCTCTTCTGAAAATCAGCTGATTAGGTTTGACAGCTTATTTTTCTGTCACACTAGTTCACATTGGTTCACATAGCCTAATGCTGTATATAATGTGCAGTGAATTAACAGAACTGTTTCTTGATTTGGGGGATTTAACCAGAGACACAGAAAACATTTGCACGTGAATGTACTGTATGTCTGCTTTGTAGAAAATTTCTGTAGTGGCGTCAAAACAAATTCTTTCCAAAATTATGTGTTTAGATCATTTAAGATGGATTTTTGTGGGGGGTTTTAAAATTGATTGTAATATTGATCTATGAAATAGTAATAATATGAGCATTGCAATTGCTATTCATATCTACAAATTATAGTGAGCCACATTTCACAGTGCACGTACAACCAGCCAGCTCACTTCCTGCACACTGGCTGGTTCCTGTCCTAAAATAAAGGTCAATTTCGAAGCCATTAGGTGCCTGCCAACATCATTTCCTGTTTGCTTCAGATATGTGAAACAAGAAGTTCCATTGGGGCAACCTAATGACCCAGATGTCAGCTATTTTAGCAAAAAAAAAGTTGCCCGGTGAGCAGGATTTACTTTAGGATGCACCAAGACAATAGAACAAGAGGATATAGGTTTATAATTGCAAAGGGAAATTTCAGGAGAGACACCAGGAAGTCTTTCTTTACTCACAAGGTGGAGCAGGTTGCCAGGAAAGGTGGTGGAGGCCAATACACAGGACACATTTAAAAAGCAGCTTGATGCTGTGATGGGAGTATGGTACGGTGGGTGTTCTAGAGGGATGGGATCAGATAAGCCAAAGGGTCTTACGATCTGAACCAATCTTGTGACCTCGTGAAACAAGTGGACTGGCTGTGTGCCTGCATAGTGAATGGGGTTCACACTGAAACTTAGCTAAAACCATATTCCCCCTATGCATAAGTGCATTAGACTCTTCTGCACCACATTCAGATTTATTTCTATGGTCAATGTACATAAATAAAATACTTTAATTCATTAGTGTGATTGTTATCTGTTGTGATGGGTGTGATGTTAAGTTGTATTGACATGAAACTGCAGCTTAAAAAAAAAGCACCAAGGGACATATTAATTTATAAAAGGTTTTCTTTAACATTACAACGAATATACTGCTCTAAACAAAGACCAATCCATTAATCTAAAATGCTTTCTAATATTTCCTTTAGGGATTTCATTGCCTGTATACTGACTGAAGCATTAACTGATAGAGTTCAAGTGAATCATACATTGTGCCAAATAGTGTAACAGCGATGCATCTTTTTAAATATATGAAACTAATGAATAGTAAATGCATTTAACAATATTAAAATGGGCAGCAAATTTAAAAATCAATAACTCACATGTATATTGGTAATTAATCTCCGAAGCCTAACCTAAATGGCCAGATATAATGAATATGTTGTATAAGAATATTCTACCATTGTATTGAACTATATTTAAGCCAATAAAATCTAGTGTCAGAATTATTATTATTATGTAATGGTAGGGCAAAGCAGGAAACTGTAACAAAGATAGCCCTGTGACCTAGGGTGTTTCTTTCAGTGTCCTAGTCAACAAACCCCAAAGTATAAACAAAGGTCATTCATCTTCAACTCAATTCTCTGGGGATAGGAGCCATTCGAGGCCTAGTGTGGCAGAGGACACTAGCTGCAGAGCTCGGGATGATCTGCAGCTTGTGGAGGGAGGAGTTGGGAAGTCTGGTGGGCAGAATTGGCATATTTCTATATTTCTGACATCCATAATCCACTGGTCAGCGAACTGTGCACAAGTCAGTCTTGGAGGTAATGGAAAACAACAAGGTCGCCTCATTGGAAGCCTTAGTTAACGGCTTGGTCTCCCACTCAAATAAAAGACATCGCTCACTGCTGTTCACATACTCTAATTTAGTGGTTACTTAAATCTTGCTCCTAGTGCTTCTTGCAGATACACTGATGGCTCAGGTTATATAAAAGTTCAGAATGTACTAAGGGACACATCCCATATTATTTGTCTCAACTGATGATTTCAGTTCACTCTCTGATAATTTTACACAATTAAGCCTACACTTGTTTATTTAAATAGATGTTAATAATATGCAAAATACATTAATGTCCGAACTACCAATTTCTATATGCAGCTTAAATCAAAAGGCACTAAGGGCTGAATGGCCTTCTTCTGTGCTATAAATTCTATGGTTTATTTAACAATAATTTAATTAACAATAATTAAATTGGTCATTTTCAATCTACGACTGTTTGTGGGACATTGCTGTGCCCAATTGGCTGCCGCATTCACCCACAAACATGCAGTCAATTCACTTTACAGTGTCTTCTGTGAAGCTCTTTGGGACGTCCTCCCGACGTGAAAAGCGCTATATCAAATGCAAGGATTATTATTATTGTTATGGTTTCATGAGTATTAAGCGAGCATTAAAGTTTTTGCCAGGATTAAAAATTTGATCCATGTTTTCTTAAGATAATGATTAGTTAGACTTTCACATTCCTTTTTGGCAGTCAAATAAATTTAATAGTTTATAAAGTTTAAGAAAATTATAATTTTGGATTATGTGCTCGGATACTGGGCATTTGGGCATCACCAAAAGAACATTATAAAATGCAAAACGTTTAACTGTCTGAGAGAGGTGGCCAAGGTTATTCAGCTGGGAGCTAAAGGACTTTGAAGAATGCTGGCAAGTATATCATGCTGTCATTTTCTGTCTCTGATGATCAGAGATACATTGAAGATTGCCCTGATCAAGTCAATCACTAATGGCTTACTTTTTACTGACAAAAAGCAGTTTAGAATCGTTTTATCATCCAACGAACTTACTTCCACTTCCCAAATGGGTCTGCGGGAACCAGTAGAAAAAAGAAAGTGGAACCTTTTCATTTCAGTGCTCTAAGACGCTATCCTGTGCAATAGGCACCATGTAAACGCAAGTTGTTGTAATATCTGCCGTTTTGATTGGGGGGGGAGGGGTGGTGGGTTGGGGAAACACAAGAATTCTGCACTCACCTTGTACACGTAAGGGTTCTTGCGTGAATCTGTGAGGATGTCAAACCTTGTATAAAGATCGTTGAGAAGATTTACGATTTTCATGGCCCCTTCTGCTGAGGCATGTTTACTGCAGAAAGAATTAAATCCGACAATGCCACTGAAAAGTATTGTGACGTTGTCATACCGCTTCGCAGGAATGGGGCGTTTGTGCCTCAGCTCATTGGCAACAGAATGGGGAAGAACTGAATAGAGCAATCTGAAAAACAGGTGAATGTTTTACTGGAATAAGGTACCTCAACGCACGGAATTCTACTTTGTTACCAATGTTAAACAGTGAGATTCACTATCAGCAAAGCATTCTAAGATCTTAGATACACATTAAAAAAAAACTTTCATCCCAATCAACGGTTCCAACTCAAAACTATTATTGTTTGGAGGAGCTAGTCATTTATTAAAAGGCCGCCTTTTTTTGAAATGTTGTTTGAAATGCTGGTTAGCTTACCTATCTGTCTTTTTCTTTTCATCTTCTAATGCTCGAAGGGTGTGTTGCAGTCGATCAGTCAAGATTTCTAACTCCTGTGTAAGCTTGTACTCCTCTCTGAACTGCTCGCCGAGCAGAACCAGATCACGTGTGGCGTCATGCAGTGGGATATCACTTAGATAAAGGCCCCTTCTGGTCAAGTCATCCAAGTTCATCACACTAAATTACACATGATATTTTTTTAAAACAAAGCATTAACTTCATCAAAACATTCCAATCAGAGCAACTTGCTGCCTTTGTTTTCCCATTGCTGAACCAACTGTACTTGTAAAATAGGTTTCAAATTAATAAATGTTATCAACCATCACTGTTGCAATCGCATAAAAGCCAATGTAAAACATGCCTACTGCTAACAGTTCAAAAAGTAAAATTTATATCCTAATATATAATTAGGACACATCATATTGCAGACATATTATATTGCACCATTTGGGATCTTTAAAATCGCACCCCGTGTTATAATGAAGCATGAAAGTGGGTTTTACTGTGCAGAGAGTGCAAAGAGAAATAAATAGACACCTTCCCAGTCAGCAGGTCACTGCAAAATCACTTCATGTTTTATGCACACAGGTAAAGTGAAAACCCAGAACTTGGCTAAAATGGTCATTAATTTGCCACCGACATCACTTCTCCCTTCACTGTGCAGGAGTAAGGAACCACAAGTGAACCAGAAGTTTCCTATTTTACCATGGAAAGCCAATCCGCAAGTGACAAACGAGCTGGTCAGCTGCAGACACATGCAATGAATGGGCTCCTCAATGCAACCGATTTATAAGTGGTAAGTGTTGAATCTATTTATTTGGGATAAATAATCAAGAAAAACGCAAAGAACCAGACTTCAATATAACTAACTACAGATTTCAATGAAACAATATATTCTATAACTTATTAACTTCATACGAACAAAACTGGGAATGTTTATATTCCAAGAGTTTGGTACAATCCAAATCAAGGTATCATTTCCTTGTTTTTTTTAATTTAACTACATTAAGTTTGACAAAATTTTACTGAAAGCAAAAAATTATGGAAAAAGTTCTGTAAACTCACTTCCTTTTTAATAGCTGCTTCTCTCTCCACACTTTCCTTTCTTTATCTCGCTTCTCTATGTTTTATTTCTTAAGGTCCGAAAGTCCAATTCTTATGATCTCTTCGAGTTAAAATTTAAGAGTACACAGAACTGTGGAAAATTCTTAAATTCAATCTTATTTTATTTGCTAGTTTTCCAGTTCTTAAAAAGGACTGGGTTTACATTTTAGGACAAACCATCTTACAAACTATGACTAGATAGAATTTGAAGCCTCTTGTGTCTTATTTAGACCTCATCATCTGCTGTGCTCAAAACCATTTTACAGACCAAGACAAGATGCAGACAAATTCAATGAACCAAAGAACTATGATATCTGTTTAACTACACCAATGTATATCTGAAAAATCTACCAGGGAACAAAATATATTCTGGTAATAGTAATAAGATCCAGTCTCACCTTTGTGCCGTCACTTAAAAGGTTATTTGTACACTGGGACAAATACCAAACGTGACTATGCATTGAATAATAATCATATTGTGGACTCTCATGAGGAGATCACTAACACTAGGGATGTTATAATAATAATAATCCTTGCATTTGATTTAGCGCTTTTCACGTTAGGAGGACGTCCCAAAGCGCTTCACAGAACACACTGTAAAGTGAATTGACTGTATATTTGTGGGCGAACGCGACAGCCAATCGCGCACAGCAATGTCCCACAAACAGTCGTAGATTGAAAATGACCAATTTATTATTGTTTTTTGTTTTGGAGGGATTATTATTAGGCGTGTGGAGTAAGGAAACTTGCCCAAGGTTTCGCCCTCTGCCTGGAATTGAACTCAGGTCTTTCGCTTGCAAAGTGAGTGCTCTAACCACTGAGCTACAGGACTCCACTGGTGTTGGTGTATTTAACAGCCTCGTGGCTTCATGGGAGCTTGTGGTTCTAGTTCAAACAACCATTGTTTTGAGAGAAAAAAAATCTAATTACACAAATTACCTCTGGGCTGTTTGTCGATTGCCACTAACGTAACCCGCTACATAGATGTTTCACAAGTGAAGTGCATACCTGGGAGAGCACAGGAAAAGGATATTGTCAGCTTCAGGTAGGTAGATCATCTGGCCCTTCAAACGCAAACAGCTGATTTCAGCACCTGTCAGGTCATCATCAGATTCTGCTTTTTCAACATTCAGCAATCCTTCCTAGAGGGAAACACCAGGACATATTTTAATGACCCAAACTAATCCCGAACTAGACATTAGTGGGAATTAGCTCTACGTGCACAAAAAGAGACTCAGGTTACCTTACTTCTTATCACAAAGACTGTGTTGATGTGGGAGAGGATTCCATGGAAGGTGAAGTCAATATGTGGTCGAACCAGAGAAAAAACTGACAAGAGGTTACAGCTTCCAGGCTGCAGCTAAAACAATGAACAAATTAAATACAATTGATGTGACACTACTGTACCTGAAACAATATCACTGAAAATGAATCTATTCCATAGTTAATAAATAAAAAGATAATTTTTTTTAATTCTATCCTTAATTAATGAGCATAAAGATGAAAAAGTAAAACTTTCCATAAAATATAAAACTATTGTTTAGTTCATATCATTCAGTCAAATGCCCCTCTATCAACAATTTGTCCAACAATTTGCTTCAAATCTAAACTTGGAATGACCCTACACGAGTGTAGCATTTGTCCACTGTGTATACCAGCAAGCTTTAGGGCCTACGTGAGTGAGATTACAAATTATTGGCTGTTATGTTCTATCAACTTGCATCCACCAGGTCATGGATGTCATCCAAATTCCTTTGGGACTCTTTTGTCCTTATATTCATAATTGACAGTGGCAGGTGCAAATCCAGTTATGGTGGTTCTTATCGAGATCCGATCCAATTAATGAGAAATTAATTTAAAAAAAGCGCACAAATATAAGCAAAGTTCTAGATGAGGAATGGAGACATTCTTTGAAGTTGTTAAATTTATAAGTTAGTTCTTCTGAATTTATTGTAATCGGTAATATTTTATCTTTTAATACTATCAGTCAAAGGTCTCTTGACTAGGTTCAACAACTTGCTTTAACTAAGCTTGGAACGACACTTCACCTAGATGACATCTTTCCATTACGTATACCAGCAAGTTTTAGAGATTCTGTGAGTGAGATTACCAGTTTACCAATGCAAATGGAAAGGGTTATTATTGGATGGTTACCTGTGGAAGAACACGATATATTGCATTCCCACACTGTGTCACCAGGAACTCCCTATCAAACATAATATGGAAAGGAAATGCTTTGCAAAATGTGTCTGGACTGATCCTGGACTCTTGGGTACCATTCTCTTCAAAACGATCCTGGTCTTCAGAGCAATCCTCTTCTGCTGAGTCTTTCTCTTCAATCAAGAATTGAATGTGATCACACTCTTCAGTCCTCTGCTGAATCACCTTAAAAGTTTAAGCAAGTAGAGAAATCAGCAAGATTTGTTGATCTTTTAAATGTAATCTCAACAGTATCTAAGGATCCTTCATCAGCTGTTTCTTCAATCGGAAGAATGCAGTGACCTTCACAATGAGTTTAAAATCTAATACAGCTGTTCAGTATTTCAATTAACCTAACAACTTTATTATATAAAAAAAATTATAGAGGCATATTTGCTAATGTAAAATATTCTAAAACTGATGTTCTAAAAGTGACATGGTACCTTTAAACTGAAAATAAGAAACATCATAAACCATCCTGGGGGAAAAATAAGGGCATGCTTTTCAAATATTCTCAGTTTGTGAAACTGAATGCAGACATTTTATTCAAGAGGGAAGTAATAGAAACACATTGGGGTGATTTTCTGATCATTGGTAAATGCACTGACCTTGGTGGATGATGTGTCCGATTTTTATATGACTATTAAATTTACAGACTTTGGCAGTACGAGTGGGATTCTCTATGAGCATAAAGTACTCATGTAGATACCATGTTCACACAGCAACATTCCAAAAGCAGCATAAACTGTAATGCCACAAGCTTTGTCATCATCACTTAGCTTTATATGGCAGCTAAAGTCATGTTAGGTTTACTATCCTATAAACACAACATTTATTCAACGACGGTACTGCCACATCACCACATACGAAGTAGGGCTACATATTTAAAAACTCCTAAATATAATTTTAAAAAATCTAAAGTACATTATCACTTTAGAAATATTTGCCTTTTTTTAAAACTTCTAGCTAAAGTGAATATATAACTGTGCATATAGATTCTATAACAAAAAATATTTAATTGGTAAGATCATTTAAACAGTGAATGTCAGGTTTTTAAGTTAACAGTGAATCTCATTTGATAATGCAAGTGTGTTACCGTACTAGACTGTCAACAGATGAGAATCCAGGGTCAGACTGCTCATTTTTTAAAAAACATTTAATAATAATCCTTGCATTTGGTATAACGCAGTATCACGTCTTCGAGACGTCTCAAAGCACTTCACAAAATATACTGCAAAGTGAAATGACCGTATATTTTGTGGGTGAAGCACACATAAATTACACTGTTCTTCGTATAATGTAATCCAAGCTTGAACTAACAATATGGAGCTGAATCACTCTCTGTCTCATACCTGTTAACCGACTCCAAAATGTTATGTGGCGTGTAGTTAGCTTTGAGTTACATGAGCTAGAATCAATTACACAAAAGAAATTGAAATTCTGAACTGAGGCTTCTTCTCTCATTCCCGCTAATGAATTGTAATACCTGCAGGTCACACTGCAGGAGCCGCACCAATGATCTCAATTGGCAGGATCGGAGCACGCTATTGCCATGGTTACTATACTTTTAAACATCAAGATAAATCATCACTTACGACTTCAAAGATGTCAAACCACTCTCCTTTCTCCTCTGCATCCTTCATAACAAATCTTTTGAGGACTTTGATGTAGTACATTTTTTTCTCTCACCAGAGAAATGCAATGAGTTAATGCCTCGCTCTTTCCCTGACCTTGTTCCAAGATCGGTCACAAGACTTACCTCTTTGATTGAGCTTTCAGTTATCTTTCCCCTCCCCACTCCCTCAGCTCCCAGCCCAGGACTATAAAGCACCTTGGGACATCCTTCTGACATGAAAAGTGCTATATAAATGTAAAAATTTAATTATATTTTTCTGTTTGAAATAAAGAAATGTTTTCAGGTTTCAGGTCTTCCATCAACTTCAGTTCACAACAGACATTTAAAATTCACAATATATCAGCAATGTGCGCACTCTGTACCTTGACATCCCCTTTCAATTCATTGTAATTCTTCTGTATCTCCAAGCACACAGAAAATATTTAATATTTTCGGAAGATTATGCATTGAATCTGATTGTTGATAAACTTTCTAACCAGCAAAACAAGAGTGTTAACTTATTCCTCAAACTATCAACGTTAATGAATTTGCAGCCCAACAATCTGACACACTGTCCTGCTAAAATATGGCAAAACTCACCAATCTCTTTGCTCTACCTTTAGCGACTAAGCCTTCAGTCACCATGTCCATACTCTCTGGAACTCTGCTTCAAAGCTTCTATGCCTTGATACCTCTCCATGCCTTCAAAAACCCCTAAATGCTTCTGTTTCATGATATCTTTGGTCAAGATCTTTACAATTCCAATTACCATATTTGGTATCTGTCCATCATACCAGTAAAGCCCATTGGGACATCCTTCTATGTAAAATGCACTGTATACATGTTGTAATTGGATTGTTCTAAGTAAACTCATTGTTTTGCTGTATCCTATATATTTGCAAATAAACAAAATCTTTTTATTTGATATAGCATCTATCACGTTGAGAGAACATCTCAAAGCACTCTTCAGAATTTAATGTGGCCTCTGATGACTAAGTAGATATGTCTGAGGCTCCATGACATCCTCCCTCAGAATAACTTAATTGAAGAGATCTTTCAGGTCATTGACCCACTGCTCCTTCTTGACTCATTTTTGCTATGGTTTCCATTCATGATCATTGTTAATATTAGTATTGATACCAGGGTTAATATACACTAGACATGGGCCTGAGCCTAATAATGACCTTGTTCTCCGGCTCTGGAGTTTCTTTCTGATTAGTTGCTCTTTTGACACTCAGTTCAGTCCTTTCCAGAGACAATCATTCACATGCCAGAGTTGATAGGTGATAACATTCTCACGTAAACAAAAATCATTCGATTAACTTGAAAACCCTATAACTTGTTTAAGGTAAAGCCACTGGAATTTAGACGCTAAGGTGCTCTGCATAATGCAATGCAAATTTAATGCACTAAGTCTCCAGATAACTTTTCAAGATAATATAATAATAATAATAATAATAATCCTTGCATTTGATATCGCGCTTTTCACGTCTTCTAGACGTCCCAAAGCTCTTCACAGAATATACTGTAAAGTGAATTGACTGTATATTTGTGGGCGAATGCGGCAGCCAATTGCGCACAGCAGTTTGTGGGACACTCCAATGCAGCACAATGTTTTTTTTTTGAGGGATTATTATTAGGCGTGTGGGTTTAGGAAACTTGCCCAAGGTTTCGCCCTGCCTGGAATTGAACTCAGGTCCCTCAATTGCAAAGCGAGTGCTCTAACCAATGAGCTACAGGACTCCACTGGGGTTAAGTCACCACATTGTGGACAAGATGGTTTGCTGCAATGCCATCTAGTCTCCTCCACATCAGACAATTCAACATTAAATTTAAGACTGGAATTAATTTAATTTAAGAAGGCAAACATGTGGAAATAATCACTTTGTCAGTGAAGTAATTTGAAGTAATTTTCATTGCAGTATGAATGTTGGCAGTCCAAGCCCAATTGGTCTCAACTAAAATGAATTGTAGCAGTCTTAATGGGGGCATAACATAATTGTAACAGCCAAAACATGAAGCAGTAAAGGCATGATTGTAAACTGAATGACAAAGGTTGCTGTTAATAAACTGCAGTAAAGTGGCAAAAGAAGCCATTCATGTAAATGATCAGCCAAAGGCAGAACATGCAGAGAGACTGAAATTACACGGGGACTAAACAAAGTTGAATTGCTATTTTCCCAATTTAAAGCATGAACCCAAATTGCAAAAAGTGAGCTTAAACTGACCAGGATGATAGTTCAATATAAATTGTCACGCAAACTGATACAGTAATAACTGTACTCAATCAAATGGAGTTTTAGTTGTACAAACGTGCATAGTATCATTTACAAAAAATGTGCAACCCATAATTTACCATAATGCTTATTATAATGAAATGTTCACTCTCAGTTGCTAAGACTGTATAAAGAGAGTAATTTTACCTTCATTTCTATTTCAGTGCCATGAATCTGCTGTGCCACTGTCTTAATTATTCCAATTACAATATCCTGTAAACCCTCCCTCTCCGAATAGTAATGCAAGAGAAGTCCTTTCCCTTTGTCTGCATCTGTGCATCGAAATGATGGTGCACGCATTCCTGGGTAGATTGTAGCCAGGTGATCATGTAAAGCATCTAGGTTCTGAAAAAAAAATATCAGTTGTAATTATAACTGAAATTTAACATATGATAAAAGTTATTATTACATAAACAGTGATGTTAATATAAAGTATGCTTTCATAGATGTTTGATATAAGTTCAATTACAAAATCCTTATTGATTAGCATCTTTGTGAAAAATACTGCATTATGTAACAAGGAAATATACTGTGGGTTTTATGAAACTGGCAAGAACTGCTTTGTTGCCTCGCTTATCACATGTGCTGTTACTGGAGATGCACCAGGAAAATTCAGTGTCAAAACCATAGATCAACTGTAAGATGCATTATACAATCTAGCCCATGGCTTCAACTAATATGTTCTTGTTCATTTGGAAAAAAAAGCAATTATATTCCAAAAGTTTTGCAATTCTTCTTTTAACCAAACATTAAAAAAAATTCATTTTCAACAAAAATAATTTGTTGAAAAAAAATGAAAAATAAATTGAAAGCTGAGACTCTTCTGCTATTGGCAATGTTTACCAATCTCTATGCGCCTGCAAATTTTATTTGAAATAAATCTTCATTTACTGCTTAGCAGAAAATGGTACTTTTGCCAGCAAGTGCATTTTTTGCTATTTTACAATCACATCCCATGTTTCTATTTATAACAAACTGACTGCGAAGATATTTTGTGGGACAACCACTTGAAGGGTCACAGCTTTTAAATAGCGGATTTTATGCTAACATTTCATTTCAGTTTTTGTATTCTTCTGCATTCGTTACAATCAGCAAATTAATGAAGCACTTTATCATGGTGCTTATTTGAAAAGTACAACATGTAATATTGTGACTACCTCAAGCCGCTAACAGGCAGTAAGTTCCCAAGTCACATCAATATTGGTCCTCCAAAACCTCATTACAATATTATGATGTTATTACTCTGCTGAAATATTATTAACCAAGGAGGTAAATTATCACATTATATAAACATGTAGAGAAATTTTAGAAATCTGTGCTGTAAAATTCCATGATTCTATGAAGCAATCCACACTGACTTTGTTCAGATTTAGAAATTAAATGCATCGCTTGCATCATTTACCAAATATCCCAAACTTAAAAAATAAGGTTAGAAAATTATTTTATTTATCTATCTTTGGATGAATGTTTTGCTCATCATGATGAGAAGCATCTATGCTTGGAAAAGGAACAGTTTGTTTGATCTATGTTTGATCTCTAACTGTGAGCAATCAGCACTCACAAATCACCACAGGAATAGGCACAGAGTAAAGCTTTGTATACATTTCTTCACCCAATGTTTAAACCCCTTGATGGACTAGTACAACTATTTCCCTTCCCAAATGGTGTGTCCTTAGAGTAACCCTTTTGATTTAGAGCCAGTTGTTTACTCAATTATGTGCTGCCTTGTGCTATAGAAGTCTAGAAATCATAGCTTTTTTCAGGACCGAAGCCTATCAAGTCTGTACTGGCTCTCTGTGAGAGCTACTGTTCAGTTCTACTTCCCTGCCTTTTCGCTATACCCTTTAATATTGTTTCCTTTTCAAATGTTTGTAAAAGTTATTGTGATAATTCACCATCATTCGATTCCTTTCATCCTCCACAACAAACCAGACATGACAGTTTTCTGGTGGATGTACCCACAAGGAGTTAGATTGAGATTGCCTCCAAATCATCTTGCACAGTATTCTTACAGCCAAAAGAGATAGAAAATGCTAAGGAAAGCTGGATTCCTTCCCATGAGAAAGGATGACATCCTAATCGACTGAACTGAAGTTGCTCCAAACCACAATATTCGATCAATCTTTGGTTTGCATTCCTGCTACAAAACAAACCAGCTTTTTCCAGAGTTTGCGGGCTTTCTACCATTATCTTCACTATTTTGTGTTTATGTTTAATTATGTTTAAGTGAAACACAATCCAAAAATAAGAGTAACTTTTGCCCCCCCATACTAATTGATTAATATGATATAAAATAGCAACTATCTGAACTAACAGAGGCAAATTTGTTGGCAGAAATTTTCCTTTGGAAAGAAGGAAAAAAAGGATTTTCAAAAGAACTGTTTTCACTTTACTGCTATTCCTTTAATTTTTCTCCCTGTCCGGTTATATTTGATCGTAAAAAGAATCATTCTTGACTTAAGCAGTCAATGATTCCTAGTCATGAACCCAGCTTTTAGCGGACTACTACAATATATTCGAATACTGTACAACCAAACTGGCTGAAACCCTTTTTGTACAAGATCCTGAAATTAAAAGGATCTGGAAATCACTTGATCTTATTCATTAAATGTACCACTGTATGTATAGGAGTATTATTATTGTCGTCTGATGTGAACATTGGTGAGTGAAAGATTAAGCTCCCTGCTGCTTTAAACTTACTCCCAAACTACAGAATGCAAGTGTAACATACTTTTGATAGTTTTAGGAATTTAACATTATTACAATGATGGCTTGACTCTCAGGACAACACAAATGGGTTTACTCTTCAGCTCGTAATCTCTCCATGGGAAACTCTGACAGGTTTTCTTGTTCACAGCTTCAACTTCCTAGTACAGTAGTTCAGCTTTCCATTAGCTATAAAACAGATCTATAAAGCCAAATTTCAACCACTGAAAAACTATTTTCTATAGAGGCATTTAATTTCCAAAATAAACATTAGGATCAAGGAAGCAGCAGAAGAAAATAACTTGTTTTAGACACAAGTGTTAAAATATGTAGAAAATGATCACACTGAATCAAATCTTTTAAAAATGGGCATGAATGAGACGAAAAAAAAACAGAAGGGGAAAAAGGGCAAGCATAGGTAAATGTAAAAATATTCAGTATTTATTTGTTTTTATTTTTGTCTGTTAAGATTAATATTACCACATGGCAATTCTGTTATAACTTGATCTAAGCCAGGGGAGCCGGGCGCGAGTGGGGTGATGGGGTCACAGAGTCTGATGCAGGAGAGGACACAAGCTGCAGAGTTCCGGATGATCTGCAGCTTGTGGAGGGAAGAGTTGGGGAGGCTGACAAGGAGGGAGGTAGTCGAACCTTGAGGTGACGAAAGCATGTATGAGGTTTTCAGCGGTCTGAGGGGTGAGACAGTAGCAGAGTCGAGCAATGTTATAATAATATAATAATAATGTTGCGGAGGTGGAGGAAGGCTGAGCGGGTCATGGCATGTATATGGGGGAGAAAGGAGAGTTGAGGTGTCAAATAAGATGCTCAAATTGGAGGCGGTGTGAGAGATAAGACCTGAACCATTCAAGGACAGAACCTTAAAGGTTGAGGTGAGAGGAGAGGCGGTGGAGGAGGATGGAGCGGTCCACAGTATCGAAGGCAGCAGAGAGGTCGAGGATGCCGATGAGGCAGAGGATGCCCTGGTGACAGATGGACAAAATGTCGTTTGTCACCTTGACCAGAGCAGTTTCCGTGCTGTGAGCAGCACGAAAACCCAATTGGAGTGGCTCGTGAAGGGAGTGGTAGGAGAGGAATGAGTGAAGCTGGGAAGCAATGACTCTTTCAAGGACCTTCAAAAGAAAAGGGAGGTTGGAGATGGGCTGGTAGTTAGAAGACAGGGATGGGTGCAGGGAAAGTTTTTTCAGGATGGGAGTTATTGTAGCTGTTTTTAGGGGATGGAAATGGTGCCAGATGAAAGGGAGAGATTGATGGTGAAGGAGAGTAGAGGGGTGAGCTGGGGATGGAGCTGGGAGGTAAGGAGAGGGGTGGGGGTGGGGTCAAGGGAGCAGGTGGTGTACTTCATTAGACAAGAAGTGCCAACAGCGGCAAACTGACCTCTATTTAAAACATTAGAGTGTGAATAATCAATGGGAAATGCCATTATAATGTTAATTTTTACCAAACAGCATATGATTTACTCACCATAGCATTTTATTTCAGATTTGCTTCTTTTTGCTTTCTGTACATTACTGTCATTGAATATTCACAGAGAAGTCATTTGTTATGATTATCTTTATAATTGTATCTCCAAACAGAATCATATTTACCTGCAAAAACTCCCTAACGTTGGAGCCCAGAACACGAAGGATTGTGTCATAACCAGATTCTTGGCAGAATTCAAAAAACATCTTTCCAAACATTTGCAGGATTTCACCAGCATCAATTTCTGTGAAAGATTAATCAAGCAACAGAAGAATTTTTTGTGAGACTTTATTTCAAATAACTCATAAAGGTTTTTCTCAGAGGTTCCATTTATTTATAAAACATTTAGCAAAGCTGTTGATGCTGACATCTAAAGTTCAGTTCATACAGCTTTTACTTTGTACCGTCTTCAAATACAAAGTATTCACACATCAATGTATTTATGAATGGTTCAAGCTGAACTTTTCAAAGCAATTACTTGTGCTTATGTTAGAAATCATACAATGTCAAAGGGGATTACTGTTAAACCTGATTAGCTACACTAACCTCCCTGCAATGTCAATAGGTTATCAAATAATTGGTTATGACCCACCTGTTCTGTTGATATTCTGACACTAATACAATTGGAAGCCAAGCAGTTAATGTTCTACAGCCTAATCAGTATCTATAATAACTTACACAAGTGTTTTTTTCTGAGAACCAATGCAAGGTTTATTTATTACTTAACACTGCAGAAGTGAGGAGGAAGCTGTTGGTGTACAGTGAGGTACCTTCACAACAGTAGTGCCTTGAGATGCAGTTACAGTGTATTCCTGGGATACATAGAGGTGGGAGGGGTTGAGGTCATGGATTTTCATCCTCTCCTCCTCCCCTCTACCCTGTCGGCACACACCCAATGAGTCCTACTTTCTTAGAGCTATTACTATGCATCCGTTTTGTCTGTGGTAAGTGTACTTTTATGGCTGTTACATTTGGTGATAAATTTCTCAAGCTTTGTCTAAGAAGGACCAAATGTATCAGTGTTGTTTGAGCATACAGTGGGGAACAATTTCCTTTAAGTGTAGAATATTATTTTCAGTATACCCATGAATTAATTTCTCCCTGAGGCCAAACCTGTAGGTCCTCATACTACTACAATCTTATCTATCTTAGCTCAGAGAATAGGAGACTTGTTCCAATGGTACATTCCACAAGCAGCGTATCCTTTGATATGCCCATACCCCAAAATAAAACATGACTAGGTATTAACTCTTTCAACGTTTATTTTCCAGAACCACAAACCTCACATTAATAAGCTTGTGGCTGTTAAACATTTTACCTCAGCCCCACCATTATATTGTTAAAGATAACAATGACGTATTTCCTTCAACTTCAGTTTTACCTGAAAATATATCAGTAACCTAATATATAGCTACATTTCTTAATCTTGTGATTTTAGACAAGATCATGCATATGCACTATACACTTGCAACATTCCTAATATGGAAGTGAGTTCTAGCCATTGTATACTGCAAAAATGATTTTTCTAAGAGTAAAATATTCAATACAAAATTACATTTGTGAAGCGCCTTTCATTTTGGGAGGACGTCCCAAGGCGCTGAACAGTCTTGGATTAGGACCCGAGAGGGGAAGGGGACTTTATTTATATAATAACTTTATTATTAAAATTACCTTTTAATCTGTGAAATAATATTTCCACAGTGATTAGGCTAAATTCATATATGAATATTAATTCCTCGCAAAAAAAACTTGCATTGTCACGTGATAAATAATAGAAATGGACAAATGTATAAGAAAGACAACAATAATAACAACAACTTGCATTTATGTCACGCCCTTCACACAGGGTAGCTCATAACTATGGCAGAGGTTGATGCTGCCAGGATTGTGGGGAGGTGACTGTAGGCATGGTCGAAGGGTAAGATCTTCAGGCAGTCAGTGGATTGGGGTGTAAGCAGGTTGGAGAGGGAGTAGGTGGCAGGGCACGAAGTGTTCTATACACGAATGTGAGTGGAGTCTGGAGTGAGGATCCGGGCAACAGAATTTCAAATTAATTTGATTTTATAAAAGATGGAACTATGGAGACCAGCAAAGAGGGCATTGGAATAATTGAGACGGGAGGTGACGAATGTGTGGATAAAGATTTTGATTGTGTTGGGTGTGAGGTAAAGTCGGAGGCTGGCAATGTGGGGAAGTGGAGAAAATGGTCCTAGATGTGGGGTAGGAAGGATAACTGGAAATCAAACCTTGCAAACAGGTTCAGTAAGTCTGAGGGATAGGCCATGGAGGTTAAGGAGGTCAGAGCCATAGGTGAAAAAGCATTGACAGGAGCTGAGGAGTATAGTTCCCACCTTGTCATCATTCAGTTGCAGTAAGTTGAGCTCATCCACTTATTGATGTCTGACAAGCAAGAGGAAGAACATTGGTGGACCTGGGGTCACAGCGGAGACGGAGTATATTTAGGTGCTATTCACATACATTTGGAAGTTGGCCCCATGTCTACGGATGACACTGTTGAGAGGGAGTATATAAATGAGGAAATGAAGGGGGTCAAGGATGGAACCTTGGGGTATGGCACAGGTAACCCAGCAGGGGCTGGAAGAAAAAAAGTGAGAGGAGACAAAGTGATTTCAGTTGGGTAAGTAGGCGAGTGAGGTCTACCTAAGGTGGTTGAGGGAGGAGAGGCGGTCGAGGGAGGATGCATGATCAACTATGTCGAAGGCATCAGACAGGTCCAGGATGACAAGGAAGCAGAGGGAACCCTAGGTACAGAGACAGAGGTGTAATTATGACTTTGGCAAGCGCCGGCTTGGTGCTGTGGGCAGGGTGGAAACTTGATTGAAGGAGATCAAGTAGGGAGTGGAGGGAGAGGTGAGAGCGAAAGTGGTTGCCAACAACAAATACATATTCCGAGGTAGAATTTCCACCATTTGTGGGTTAAAGTGCTTATCCTTAAAGTGATGGTAAAGCTGTGTATGATCTACAAACAATGCGTACAGATCTTAAAGCAGGCCTGCAGTAGTTGAGAAGCTGAACATTTCCAGTCACAAATAGTTGAAACTATGACTTGCCTCAAGGATATGTGTCACTCAAATCTATTGGAACAAGGCATAGTTGAGGTTATCAATGACAGCTTGATAGAACAGTCACAAGGTCACATTCAGTTGAAGAAGACCCATTTGGCCTCATCCCACCATCTTACAAATACAGCATCAAGCTATTTCTTAAATGAGTTCACTATACTGACCTCAGCCACATATCTAAATAACATGTTCCAGCTGTTGAATCCCCTCTGTATAAAGAAATGTGTCTGCCCTACAATTAAATAATTCTTACGTTTGGTACAGCACCTTTCATGTCAGGAGGCCATCCCAAAGCATTTCACAAGATGTACTGTAAAGTGGAGTGAGTATACTTTTTTGTGGGTCAACCAAGTTGCGCAAGGCAATGTCCCACAAACAGCCATCGGGTCAGTGATCAATTTTATTGGGGGACTGTTGGTTAGGTCACCAGAAGAAACTGCCTTCTCTTTTCAAATAATGCCATGGGATCTTTAATGTCCCCCTGAACAGGTAGATGGGGCTTCGGTTTGTTGTCTGATCCGAAGAATGGATTGTGCTTCATAATCATGAATCTGCTCCCACTTATCCTGCGACCTTCCAGTATCTGAACATATTGCTCTGAGTTTATATGCTCTATCCCATTTAGTATCTCACATGCTTCTATAATATCCCAATGTTTGACATTTTGTTTCAAGGCTGAAGAATCCTGGCCTATCTTCTTGTTTTTCATAGCTTATCTGGTGATCAGCCTCTCTGTTCTCCACTGTACTGCTTCTGAGGCTCAGGCATCTCCCATATGTCGTGGTGACCAGAACTGCCTTCAATATTTCGGATGAGACGAACAAAAGCACTGAACAGCTTGAGTATAACTTACTGAATTATTTTGGCAATGTAATCCATCATACTATTGGCTTGGTTAATTGCTGCCTTATGTTGTTTGGAGATGATGAATGGCAAGTCAACAAATAACTGAGGTCTCTTTCAACTCCTTCCCGACCTTTGTCAAGTTCTATCCCATTAATGGAGTTCATGTGCTTTCTATTTTTTACTTCCTATGTGCAGCACCTTGCATTTATCTGATTGAACTTAATTTATCAGTAAACTCTGTTTACTGCATGCTATGCATATTCTTGTGTACAGGTGCATAACCTGTTGTACTTTATGTGCTATCTTCTCTGATTCCACAGTTCATCCTAATTTACCAGCTTCTACAAATTTAATAACCTTGCACTGAGTCAGCGAATCCAGGTTATTGTGTGTACAGGCACAGAGCAGACCCCTGAGCCATTCCCCTCAATACTTCCCCCATTATTCTGCACAAGAGCAAACAATTTTACCACACAAGGAACACTAGCATTATCTGTCTTCTGACAACTTGATCTTGATCAATATCAAACCAACAGGAAATGGGTGGTATAAACAGCTGATGGAAAATGCATTAAACAAATATATTCAGAAATTAAAGTGCCATATTGTGCATGTGATTTATAATTGACATGCTATCATTAATGTTGTCTATATATAAAGGAAAAAAATTATTTCCGCAATGTGTTTTAATCTGGTAATGATTAATGTTTATCCATTGTCTCCTAAAATAGGTCAGAACACTTTGTACAAAATAAAAGTAATGTCATTAATTACATCAATATTTGAGCAAGCATAAAGCGCAGTAGATCATATCAGCGCAGTTAAATAGAGACTTATAAATGTCATATCAAAAGGACATGCCCAAGAAAAAACTGCTAACATGCAAACCATATGTTATCGATACCATTGGTATTCAGTAGAGAAGCTTTTGCTTTAAAACAATAAATACTATTGTTCACCATAATATCCAAAAGGTATAATAAATAGCATACAGATGAATGATAAAATGAAATGCCAATACATTGATTATCAAAGTGACTTTATTTCTCTAATAAAATAATAATCCTTGCATTTGATAAAGCGCTTTTCACGTCTTCTAGACGTCTCAAAGCGCTTCACCCCCCCTTGACCCCCCCCCTTGACCCCATCCCCACTCCACTCCTTATCTCCCAGCTCCACTTTCTTGCCCCACATATCACTGACATCATCAACCTGTCCCTCTCCTCTGGCTCTGTCCCCATTCCATTAAAAACTGCCACCATCACGCCCACCCTGAAAAAACCCTCCCTTGATGCGTCGCAGCTATCAAGCTACC